GTTTCGTCTCCCCGAGAGGTTATGATGGCAAATCATTTCAGCTGCCACGTGTCATTTCCTTATTCGCCCGTCTGGGCGGCATCTCTCCTATATAAAGCGTCGTTCTCCTTGGAATTTCTTCACTTGCAAATCTTCGATTCAAAAAACTGCCCGGCTTCTTCTGCTATTTCCGAGTCCTCCGAGTCTTCTAACCGTCTCCAAGTAAGTCTTTTTTTCCTTCCCTTTCTGAGTCATGTCTGACCGTGAGGATAGCCAGAACCCGTCCGTTCACTCCTATGGTTCTGGTGGCCGGTCCCCAACCTTCGGTTCCTCTTCTTCTTCCTCCTCTGACTCTGAGCACCCGGCTACTTCTCCACAAAAGAAGCCGGCTGATGCTTCCACTTGCGCTCCCTCTTCTTCCGTGGCGCATGTGGTCTCGACTACCCAGCCCGGGGAAGAGGGTTTCATCCAGCTAGACGACCGGTTGCTCCAGGAGCAACCGTCGTACATGCAGAAGCCCCAAGTCCACGAACTGCGTAATCTGATGCCTGATGGGTATCAATTGACCTACCGGGCAACGTGGAAGAGTATTATACCTCTCCACGCCGGCACGTCGATTGGTATCCATTACCATTCGATCAAGGACCTGGGTGAATTCTCTATTCACCCATTCAAAGTCCTTTTCCTTGAGACCTACGAGATCATGCCCGGGCAGCTGGCCCCCAATGGTCACCGTTTGTTAGGCAGCTTCATCAACGTCTGCCGGTTTCTCCGTATTCCTCTCTCCCTTCGTCTCTTTGACTACATGTTCGATGTCCGGCCCGGGTCCAAGGAAACCCTTGGATTCGTGGTGGTGTCTTCCCACCAAGGCCGGGCATTCCTTTGTGGCCTTCCACCCTCTAACAAGAAGTGGAAGGACAAATATGTCTGTGTTAAATTCCCCCCGACTGCCTTTCCTTTTGCCCAAAACGTCTGGGGGAAAAGGATGAAGCGCCAGGTCAAACCAGCGGAGGCCGACGACCTGGTTGCTTGGGAAGCCACTCTCCGGGCCGGGGACGCCTCCACCCGCGGTCTGTACCACGTTGGGAAGTGGAGCGTCTACCCCGGCCGGGAGACTGATCCCGAACCGGAGATTGTTCTGCCCGGGGCGATCCCCGAAGCCATCCCCATCCGCCAGGCGAGGGGATCCAAAGCCCCGGCCACTACCAATGCCGGTCCTTCACGCCCGGCGAAGAAGAAGAAGGAGAAAGGTCAATCAACCGCCCTTCTCATTTTTCATTTGATTCAATTTGTTCTCAACTTCATTCTTCTAACCGGTTCCTTTTTTGTTTCACTGGTGAAGTTCCAATCCAAGTTCGCCGTCCCAGAGATAGTGCTTGAGGAGCCCATCACTGCTCAGCCCATCAACCCTCCATCCAGCCAGCCCTTCTCCCTGGAAGAGCAACCAACCCAATCCCATCAGGGGACCAACCAGCCCATTCACTCGGGGGATCTCTACATCAATGTAGATACCTTCGAGTTCGACACCCTAATGGGGGAGGCCGGGCACACATCCCAAGCTGGGAGGGCAGGCCAGCCCAACGAGGAGGGCGAAGCCGAGGAAGAGGTAGCTGAGGAGTCTCTCCAACGGAAGAGGCGGAGGACCGAAGAGGTCAACCAACCAGCTCACCAAGGACCCCAGTCCTCCGACGCCGGCAAGGGGCCCATTGTGCCTCGTTCTGGGCTCCTGATGTCCCGGTCGAACGAAGAGCTTTTCCAAGCTTTTCGGGCCGACCTGAATGAGGTAATTCCCCTTTCCTTATCCTTATTGTTTTTGTTTTTTAATTGTCTGAGAAACTCTCCATGTCTTTAAAGCAGGTCAGCCGGATCGGGGAGGAGTACTTTGCCGGCTGGTGAAGTCGATGGATGAGGAGAAGGCTCGGATGGAGGCCATGATGGTCGAATGCCGAAAGGAAGCCCAGGCTGCCCGGGCCAAGGCAGAGAAGATAGAGGCCAAATGGACAGAGCACTGTGCGATTTACCGCCAGCTCTATGCCAAGCACGACGGTCTCCTCAAGGCTGCAAAAGAGGCCGACGAGCAGGCTCAGGCCAAGATCCAGCAGCTGGAGGCCGAGATCGCCCGGGCTGCTGAGGAGAACCAGAGGCTAGGGGATGAGAACGCCCGGTCTGCTGAGGAGATCGCTCGGCTTAGCGATGAGCTGCAGAAAGAGCAGTCGGAGCGGGCCGCCGTTGCCGCTGCCTGGGCAGCTCAGGCGCCAGAAGAGTTCGCTGCCGAGGCCTTGCCAGACCGGGAGACAGCCATCCGCTTCTTCCAGGGTTTATACAAGCATCCGGTATCGGCCGGCCTGGTGGACGAGATTGGGACCTACGGGTTCGAAAGCGGCCAGTACTCAGAGCGGAAGGCCCTCTATGGCATCCTTGCGCAAAGGGTTCAAAGCTTCCAGCCCAAGGTCCTTTCTCTGCCCGAGCTCCA